TGCCCCGCCCCCCCCCCCCCGAAAGATGCTCGGGTGGCGGCTCGGGGGCCCAAGTAGGCGGGTGGGCGAGGGGAGGGGCGCCTCTGCCCAGAATTTGGGGGGCGCTCTCTCGAGCCCCCCCCCCTTAGTCTTCCCATTCCTGGCGTCAAGTTTCGAGGTGGGAGAGCGACAATTTTGAGATGAGGGGCAGAGACTGGACCCTGCCTGGGGGTCCTCTCGTGCGCTCTGGAAACCAAGCAGGGACAAATGTGCTCTCCGTATTCTCAGAGGAACTCTTTCCTCGATTCTTACATTGTCAGTTCCACAGCTGAGCCGCGTCCTATATAAGGGCAGCGTTCAGACCACAGCGCGGGACAGTGGGCAGCTTTTGTGGGCGAGTCCAGTTGAAATGACCCGTCTTACTGGCTCCAGGGGCCCGTAAGGCTTACCAATGAGTTGTGCTCCCTGGATCGGACCTGTTGCTTTCTCCACCAAGGCTGCTTTAAGGGCACTGAGAACCTGTCCCATCTCTGTTTAAATCTCTAACCGGGACTCCCTGATTCAGATTGTATGGCCAGTGAGGGCCAACTTGTTTTCAACTCATTACTCCTTACCAAGTTTGCCTTTGAATGGAATGAGATGCTGAGGCTGGGCAACACTGCTAGCTTGAGAAGGAAATATTGTCATTGAATTTTACAGGAGGGAACTTGATGGAAAGGCCACTCTGCCTTCTATGCACAAGATTTGGGTCTTAATTCCTAATCTCATGATCAGGTTACAGGGAAGGGGCTGCTTTGGTTGGGTAGAAAACTCGGAAGGAACATTGGGTTCTCTGCTAGGATCCTTAAACAATGAATGGTATGCAGCTAATTACTTGGCACCATGTGATTTTGCATGAGCTGTAACTGCCTTTTCCTCCACCCCCTGCCAAAAAAAGTGAACTTGGATGAAATGCTGCTATTATCAAAAGTTCACACGGGTCTCATGCCGAGCGTAAATTATATTTTCCTGTTAATCAAATACACTTTCCTGTCGGTTACCCAGCTCTGTGCTTATAACATTTTTTTCTCCCGAAGGGAAAGCCCTGAAGCTCTGAAATCTAAGTGTATTTGTTTTCAAGTCCTGTGCCGCCACCACACTGGCTTCATGGACTGTTAAATACAGGGATAGGATAGACCGAGAAGGCAAATTGACAGACCAACTAGTAATCCCTGAGGAAAGGCAAAATCTTGTCAAAGCTGCAAGATTTTGGGGTCAGTCTGAAAGACTGAACAGTTGTGGAATCAAAGCTTTAAGGTGGTAGTCCTGAAAACACATCTTAAAGGTAAGTCTTACTGAAAGAAAGAGGCTTACTTTGAAATGAATGTTTTCTAAGACTGCTGTATTGCAACACAGATAAGAGGCAGTCTTAAACATCATTGAAAAGTTCATCATATTGGTCACATATGAACTTAACACCTTCCAGACATTTTCAGAAAGCATATTTTACAATATTCAGCCTGGAGGCAGGCGTTGCATCACGGCCTCTCCCAATTTGAAGAGACCCTTGCCCAGCAGGCTGAGGCAAAGAGGAAGTCACAAAAGCAGCAAAACCAGGGAGCTGGACAGGGGACAGATTGGATTTGTCTTCAGTGTGGAAGAGATTGTGACCCTCGAATTGGCCTTCTCAGCCACACTAGACGCTGTTCCAAGTCCTCCATACAGGGCACGATACCATAGTCTCTCGAGACTGAAGGATGCCTCCTACATTTTACAATAGCACTACAGCATTTTTCTCAGTAGGTAGCCGAAGATTTAGAGTGTCAAACATCTTTATTCCCTATCAAACTGAGTATCTAACATTGTTTAGATGAATGGCTACGCAGAGGTACTGTGAGATACTGTGACAAGCTTGCATAGGGTCATTAGTGTCCTACTGTCCTACACAGACAAACAAGCTTGGTTGGTTTTTCAGCTGTTATAGCAGGAAGTAGCAGGAATGGTGATTTGGTTGTGTTCATCCCAAGGGGTTTTTGGTTAGATTTGGAGCATGAAATTCTGAAGCATCATTGAAAGTCCCATCCTGTGCTTAAATGGGAGATTTGTGGTATGGGAGTTTCATATATTTAACCTTCCACAGAATGAACCAGATATAAGTAGAAACAATGAATCGCAGGATAATAACTACACTATCCATTGCTTAACCAACATTTTAAAAGACTAAACTGGAACCATAGTAAAGTTTTAGTCATAGAAAACAAAGTTTTCAGGGTGGATGCTCTGTAAGAGAAGGTAGGACTGGTGGCCATATTGACTATCACATTGTTCTGAAGTTTAATCTGGTGTCAGAAACACGGGTTGTTGTTGTTTTTAAAGACATGTTTGCCTCCTGTGAGACTTGAAGCAGAGGATTCAAAAATTTGGGTCTTCTTTCTCCCTTTCTTTCTCTTTAATTGAAGAGGATTTTCTTTTGTTTCAAAACAGTGAGCCGTAAAAGTACCTTAAGGTTGATCATACATTATATCTGGCCCTATAATATGTTGATACCATATTGGAATGAAGAATAAAGAATGTGAAAAGCCACTAAGAAAAATGCTCTTTGTCAGTATAATTCACTACATACCACTACTTGGCTTAGCAGGGACAGTTGTCAAGAGCTATCACAGCGGCTACTTCTTTTCTGGCAAGAGCCCATCTGTGGACTGACCTTGCAATTTGCCTTATACACGAGCACAGTTAAAGCAAAAAAATTATTTCATACTTTTCATGCTTTATGTTTCTTTTTTCTTTCCTTCCTAGAGTGACATGTATGCACATTACTTTATCTTTTTAAATAAATACGTATTTTAAATGCACTTGAAATACTGCTGTAGCATTTGGATGTAGATGTGTAGCCATTCAGTGCCAACTACTGATGGCTTCCCGCCCCCCTGCCCCGCCCCCAAATTCTGGGCATCCTCAAAAGAGTGCAGAACTCACTTCAAAGAGAAGAACAGATACATTTTCATTGAGTGCCATTTATAACCCCAGTAATGGCTCAGTCTTCCATCTAAGTCTTATAGAAATGTAACCTTTTTGACAGAAACCAATGTTTTTCTCAACAGAAAACCCTACACTGTTGATTTTCCCACCCTACTTATTTACTTTTTCTGGCAAAGTGTCAGAAGCAAAGCTAGCCCTTCAGGCCATCAACTGATGACATTTTTACATTCTGTAACTAGCAATGTGCAAAACTCCCCTGAGAAATTTTACTAAGCTTATCAAAGTGATTTAACTTTCCTAGAAATGTCTACAGATGTGTTGTCTGAGCAGGCCCTCCACCTGAAGTTTTGCTTCAGGCAAACTTTAGCAATAGACAGTTATTTGCTTCATTTTTTGATACAACCAAAGTGGTTAGCTACCTGGCAACAAAAAAGAAGAAAGAAAAATCCAAACCCCTCCCATCATTTAGCTGCATCTATGCTACTTGCTTTCTAAGTACACTAATATTCATAAGTACTTTGGGGGAGAAGTAATTGGGGTGTTTGTTAACCACGAAGGGGCCCTGGGAGAAATATAACCCACATATGGGTTCCTTTGAACTTTTGTACATGGCCCAGTGGCTTTGTTGCTGCACTCCTCAAATGGGATGAACCATTTTGTGTCAGAAAATACCTATTTAAACTCAGATGGTATGCAACTACAGAAGGCTGAGAGTCAAAATGTAAGCCTTTGGCTCTGCTATGGGCCACCTCAGGCCTAGCAATGGATAAAAAATGACTTGTTCAGAGGAAACACAATAAAACAGAAATTGCCAAAATAGGCACTGTTAGCTGGGGGAGGGGGAGGTTGGGGGATGGGCTCTTTGAGGATCCCTCTAAATGCCTAATGTAAAAACTGCTGGTCCTGGATGCTGTCAGAAGCAGAAGAGGGTGACTTAAAGGGGACTTCAGGTCACTTGATGGGCTGCAAAAATAGCTCCTTCACATAGCCTGCCAGCTGCCATTTCCCCATCCCTGTTTTAAACAATGCGAATCACCAAATCTATACACAGTATTACAGAAGTGGTTCCCAGCCTGGAGTATGTGTTACCCCCCAGGGATATAAGCCAGGACATTTAGGGGTATGTGGGGGGTGGGAAATGGCATAATGACAAAAAAAGACCTACACAAGCGGAGACTGGTGGAATGGGAGGTAAACAGTATGGTTTGGCATTCAGTCAAAACATGTGAATGCTTCCTGACAAGCATCCAGAGCCCTTCACCGTCCTCAATGGGTGGGTCCATTCCATCTCCGCTCAAATTCATTTTCTTCATTGGTTGGCTCCTGTTTGATAGGTAAGAGGCAGATTCAGTTGTTACTGTGAGATAGGGCCGGCTGGACTGACTTTCCATTCTCCCACTGTGTGTCAGAACTGCAGCTGCCCTATCAGTCTTTAGCTTAGGTTAGCGGTTCCCAACCTTGGATAACCCAGGTGTTCTTGGGCTGTACTTCCCAGAAGTTTTCACCACCAGCTGTTCTGGCTGGGGTTTCTGAGAATAGCAGTCCAAAAACATCTGGGCCATCCTAGGTTGGGAACCACTCACTTAGGGGGAAGCTGGCGCGTCTTGTTTTGGGATTCTTGAATGAGCTGCAGAAAGCAGAGCACCAGGTGCGTTTGGAGGTGCTTCAGGATTGGGGGTGGAAGGACACAATGCCAGTAGATTGAAGTGGCTGTTGCAATGTCAGGAACTTCATTGGTCCCATGCCTTCGTTGTTCTCCTCAGTGCCAAGGCCTGTGTGGTGGGGAGGGAAGCAGGACCTGCAACACAATCGTTCCCTACTTTCAGTCCCCACACTCAGGCTGAGAGAATGGTTGTATGGGGTTGAGACTCTCCTTGCCAAAGGGGTGGAAGCTGTTTGGGGCTGTGTTTTGGGGC